ATGGCTGTTCTCCCAGAGGTCCAGATTTGATTCCCAGAACACATAGGTGGCTCACAGCTGTGACTTCAGCTCCAGGAAGATACAATACCCTCTTCTGTTTTCCTCAGATGTCAGGCATACACATGGTGCACAGATAAACACATGCAGGAAAAACACCCATCAAAATAAAGAATAAACTAAGAATTTTCTAAAACAAATAAAACCATAAAACTCAACCTAGCAAGAAAGGAATGGACATGACACTTGTTTAAAAATTTTTTTCACAGGGCATGGTGGCACACACCTTTAATCTCAGCACTTGGGAGGCAGAGACAGGCAGATCTCTACGAGTTTGAAGCCAGCCTGGTCTACAGAGTGAGTTCCAGGATAGTCAAAGACACATTAGAGAAACACTGTCTCGAAAAATCAAAAAAAAAATTCATAAAAACAAGAATGAAAAGGAAAACCTTGAGGCCAGTAAGAAGACTCAGTGGTGGGTAAAGGTGGTAAGGGGATCTCTTGCCTTGCCTGGTGACATGAGTTATACCTTAGAGACCCAATCTGTAGAAAGAACTGACTCCCGGAAATTGTCCTCTGACTTTCACAGGCATGCTGATGTACACATGCAACCACAAACACGCACACACACACACACACACACACACAAAAAAAGGTTTTCAAGTTTTAAAATAAGAACATCATAAAAAACAGAGATAAACATGGGTCCTACACTGTCATGTAAGTATCCATGCCAATGTTTCCAAATTAACACCCTATTAAAGAACAGCTTGCGAGTCACCCTCTGATACCACTGGACTGCTGCCAGGTTCCATGGCTGTGGCTGCCAACAGCTTCCATATGTTAGTTTCAAAAGACTGAGTATGGCAGTGCCAGGAGCCTGGGTGCACAGTGAGGACTTGCTGCTGTTGTCATAGGGGCTACTGTGGTGTCTCCTCTTCCTCCGTGATGACTGGCCATGACTTGCCCTGATGGATTTGCTCATAGGGCGTTCCATAGGTCCTTCATGTGGGAGCCCAATTCTGCATAGAGGAAGGCAGCCTCAACAGGGTGACCCCTGAGCTGAAAACTGGTCATGCATTTGAAAGATGCTGGTGAACGAGTGCCCTGGGCAAATGGAATGGCAGGGGATGGTTCCAAACTAGGAGCATTATGAAAAGTCAAGAGACAATATAGTTAGAAGAGCAGCAATGAGGGCAGGAGTGGCAGGCCTGAGGGACGACCACGGGGGCCTCAAAGCCACCCCCAGGAACTTGGCTGGCATCCTAAAAAGTAGTTGTGAGTGATCTGAGTTTTTAGACAGGCTCACATGTGTGAGTGTGTGTGTGCATCTGTGTGCATGTGTGTGCATCCGTGTGTATGTGTGTGCATGCATGTGTGTGTGTCTAGAATATTACAGGAAGAGATTAATTGAATCCAAAGGTTACTAGATCTCTCTGACCCTCTATTTTCCTACCTGTAAAATGGAGACAAGACAGCCCGTGTCTGAGACTTCCGGAATTTGTGATATAAAATGTCTGAGCACTCAATAGAAAATAGGGTCTTGTTCCATATAATCCACTGTGTTTCTAGGACCCCCCACACGTGTTTCATTCCTCTTCTGGTGTTCTTGTTGCTGGTGTTTCATTTTGTTTAGCTTTGACTTCTTGAGACAAGGTTTTCTTTTTTTCTTTTTTCTTTTTTTTTTTTTGGTTTTTCGAGACAGGGTTTCTCTGTGGTTTTGGAGCCTGTCCTGGAACTAGCTCTTGTAGACCAGGCTGGTCTCGAACTCACAGAGATCCACCTGCCTCTGCCTCCCGAGTGCTGGGATTAAAGGCGTGCGCCACCACCGCCCGGCGAGACAAGGTTTTCTATAGGCCAGGATGAACTTGAACTCCCAATTCACCCCCTCCTACCTCCCCGAGCTGGGATGACAGACATGTGTCACCTTGCCCTGTTAGCTTCCTTCTTCTTGTGCAGCAAACTTGGTCTCTGTTATTAAAATTTGGTGACTGAGGCTCGGGGCATTTTTGTTGCTTACCTAGCACACTTGATGCCCTAGGTTCCGTCTCCAACATTGCCACTAATTAATTAATCGGGAAATCGTAATCATCGATCGCCTGCTGTTTATAAAGAACCACGATACAGAAGGGACGCGCGCTGTGGCATGTTAGAGGTCACTTTGCTTTTGAAGATGTGGCCAGGAGCAAGCAGTCAGCTGCAGGAAACCATATGTCAGGAATGAGGCAGCTGCTATCGATCCAGGACAGCTGTGGGTGCCCATGGGGCAGATGCTTCCTGGCTTGAGTGATCCTAAAAACCCATTGTTCTCTGGAAACACCCCCGCCTCTCTGAATGTCCAGTCCCAGAAGAAGCCACTGCTGTCTGGACAGTGTGGCTCAGCTGCTTTCAACAGCTGTTCCGTGACACCCATGGTGAACCAGATAGATCCTGCACGAATCCGTGACAGGCCTCCCCGCCAAAGCGCTTTGGATAGATTTCCTAAGAACTGTGAAGGGTGAAGGCCAGCTTTTGTTTTCCATTTTCCTAAAATAGATGGTTCAGTTGTAATATTCTCTCTCTCTCTCTCTCTCTCTCTCTCTCTCTCTCTCTCTCTCTTTCCCTCTCTGCCTCCTGAAACAGGGTCTTACCTCATAGCCCATGTCCTAGAACTTAGCGTGTAGTTCTGTCAGGATTACTGACAGTAATCCTGCCTCAGCCTCCTGAGTGATGGAATCACTAAGTGGCTTTCAATGAGGTAAATTTGTGAATCTCCTACAGATTTAGTGAGTTGCCAGGCGCTGTGGCTCACACATACAATGCCTGCATTCAAGCGGTGGAGACAGGAGGATCAGGAGCTCAGCCTGGGTTATAGAGAACCATGTTTACAAAACAAACAAATTTTAGAAAAATTTGACTAAGTCCGAGCCTTTAGTCAACTTTCCATGAGAGTCCATAACCCTACTCTATTGGAATAATCTGTTATTTGCCATTTACCTGTAAGGCTGGATATTTAGCATGTGTTTTTTGCTTAATGTTGTTCTTGTTGGTTGGAGTCCTATTTTTGTGTATGTTATTACCCCACTCCCTTCAGCACATCATCCCAGCTGGTTTCTGCAGGCCTCCAGGCGAAACCATGATGTCACATTCCAGGACCATGGACCAGCATCTTCTGGTCCTCTCTTTGAGCATTCTCTTTAAATATTAAAAGGGTTGGCACGGTTAACACAGAAAATGCCCTCATCTTCCGCTCTAGACAAAGCTAGGTGTCCATGCTCCAGCGTTTTACCTGCTAAAAACTTGATAGTTACAGCAGCGTGGCTCCACCCTGGTCATCATCCCAGCGAAAGGTTAATGTGGACCCTGGGGACACAGCTGAGGGTGAGGAGGGTGTGCACCCTGCTCTTGTGGGACACAGGCAGAGAGGTGGTTATCCTCTGTGAGTTAGAGATGTACATGAACTCGGGAAGATCACAAACAGACGGGAAGAACCAGGTTGGTTTGCAGGGTGACATCTGAGACTCCTCTTTCGCTGGAAGTGACATTCAAGGAGAATCCAGAAGCCTGTGTGGGATTTCAGTGCGTAAAGAGTGACTTGGATGTTTGGGGAAAGAGGGACAAGCAAATGGACGGCATTGCAATCCTCAGCAGGGGTGATCATGGGAGACTGGTGGGGAGTGTGGGGGACAGAAAATCGCCAAGGGCCTGGAAGGTTCTGGATCCCAAGGATACCAGGGCACTAAGGGTTGGTAAGTGGGGAGTGACGTGACCGAAATGAATGTTTCTTAAATCTCAGTGCCAGATGACAGTAGCATTCGGTAAAAGTTCCCTGAGCTTCTGAAGGAAGATCTGTTACCTTAAGAGAAGGCAGCCAGAGTACAGGAGTGCCAAGCCCGTTCTCGGCTTTTCAACTCAGTATTGGAAAGGCCCTAAGCTTGTGGGTCACCGTGGGAGACAGGGGAAATCCGCAGGCACGCAATGGCTCCACAGGGCCCATTACCTGTCTGGAAGAATGAATTCAAGGTAGGGTAAGTGGGGAGGTGACCCACTGCCCAGGATGAATGGAAGCCACCCACCCCCTGGGCAGTTTGGGCAGTCTGAGTACTTCCAAGAATGGGTTAAGAAGCTCTTTAAGGGTTGCAGAGATGGCTCAGCAATTACCTGCGCTTGCTGCTCTTCCAGAGGATCCGAGTTAGGTTTCAAGCACCTAGGTCTCTTTGGGCACCTCAGGCATTTCATACGCGTGTACACACATGCACACACATGCACACACACGAGTGAAAAATATTTTTAAAAGCATTTCTATCATTCTTGGCAAAGAGTGTTAAACGTGTGTCACAGACATATCAAAAAAACAGAGTCTTAGGTGGCTCTTTCAGGCAGGGACAGTGCAGATTGATCAAAACTTTTGCCGCAGAACCGTCCCCTGCCCCCGACAGTACTCAGGATGTGCCTCCCATGGATGAGGCAAGTGCTCTACCACCGAAACACATCTTTATTGTTTTTTGAAAAAGGGCTCACTTAGTTGTCCAGACACACATTGAACTCTCAATCCTCCTGCCTCAGCCTCTCAAGTGCTGGAACCACAGGTGTGAGCCAGCAAACCCAGCTAACAAACACCCTTTAAGCTTCTATATAACTGAGCCTGAGGCTGATGCTGGTGACAGAGTAATAGATAAACCAAGTGTATTCGTCTCATATATGTGCATATATACATATGTACGCACAAAGATTTCATTCTAGCAATAGTTCCATTGGTAGCTGTCGTTGTTATTCTCATTTTATCCATTAGAAAACTGAGCTTCAGAGAGGGTGGCTACTATGATAGGCACACAGGCACACGGACATGGGACTTTGACCCAGTTGCGCGTCATCATACAGCATGTAAGTACAGTTTTCAGAAAGGGCTTATTAGGGCTGCTCACCTTGGGTTTGGGGATGCAGGCAAAGCATCCCAGAGGCTGTGGCATCACCAGAAACCCTGAGGAGGGGAAGAATAAGGGCCAGCGCCTCTCAGGAGGGGTATGAAAGCAGCCTGGAGGCTTGCTTGTGCTGCAGTGACTTGGTGCCCTGGTGCCGCTGACAGCTACGGTGACAACACATTCATTCTCTCCCCCCAGACCCTGTTGGCCAGGGCGCTTTACGACAACCATCCTGATTGCTCCGATGAGCTGGCTTTCTCCAGAGGGGACATCCTGACCATTGTGGAGCAGAACGTGCCAGAAAGTGAAGGCTGGTGGAAGTGTCTGCTCCACGGGAGGCAAGGCCTGGCTCCCGCCAACCGCCTCCAAGTCCTCAAAGAGAACCCTGCAGACAGAGGCCTCCTCAGAGGTCTGGACACAGATCTCACCAGCTCAGAGGCGCTCTATCAGGTGCCCAGCTTGTTCTGCCCACCACCCCCGGGGCCTGTGTATGAGCAGATGAAGAGCTGGGTGGAGGGGCCGCCTCCAGCTACTGCTCAAGTCTACGAATTGCCTGCCTCACCTTCCAGTGCCAGGATCATCTGTGAAAAGACTCTGACCTTCCCCAAACAGGTGAGTTTGTCTCCAAGGAAAGCACAGTAAAGGGTACATGATACCCAGGGGCGTCGATACACCCCAGTCATTGCCATTTATCAGATCAAATGTGCAAGACAGAACCTCAGAGCCCTGTCGAGCATGGCTAAGGCTCGACCCATTTCATTCACACTCAGCATCCCTGCACCTGCCCAGCTCACCAAGACTGGCCACCCTGTGCTGTCAGTTGAAGGCCCACTGAGGTGTGTTTAGGAGCCTGTGGGCTACCCCACACCACAGAGACCACTAGGAATAAGAGAGACAAGTGACGGGTTAATTCACAGCATGTCAAAGGCAAAGCACTTCTCACTGCATTCAAGGCATGCATCAGTCTCCACAATTTACTTCTAAAATTGCTGTAGAAACAACACAAGAAGACAAATAGATATGGGGGTGATGTGGTCACACTGTTTCCGGGAGATCGGGAGGGGGTGTGGTCACACTGGTGCCAGGAGATCAGGAGGGGGTGTGTGGTCACTCTGGTGCCAGGAGATCGGGAGGAGGTGTGGTCACACTGGTGCCAGGAGATGGGGAGGGGGTGTGGTCACACTGATTCTGGGAGATCAGGAAGGGGTGTGTGGTCACACTGGTGCCAGGAGATCAGGAAGGGGTGTGTGGTCACACTGGTGCCAGGAGATCAGGAGGGTGTGTGGTCACTCTGGTGCCAGGAGATCGGGAGGGGGTGTGGTCACTCTGGTGCCAGGAGATCGGGAGGGGGTGTGGTCACTCTGGTGCCAGGAGATGGGGAGGTGTGTGGTCACTCTGGTGCCAGGAGATCGGGAGGGGGTGTGGTCACTCTGGTGCCAGGAGATCGGGAGGGGGTGTGGTCACTCTGGTGCCAGGAGATCGGGAGGGGGTGTGGTCACTCTGGTGCCAGGAGATCGGGAGGGGGTGTGGTCACTCTGGTGCCAGGAGATCGGGAGGGGGTGTGGTCACTCTGGTGCCAGGAGATCGGGAGGGGGTGTGGTCACACTGGTGCCAGGAGATCGGGAGGGGGTGTGGTCACACTGGTGCCAGGAGATCGGGAGGGGGTGTGTGGTCAGTGCCAGGAGATCGGGAGGGGGTGTGTGGTCACTCTGGTGCCAGGAGATCGGGAGGGGGGTGTGGTCAGTGCCAGGAGATGGGGAGGTGTGTGGTCACTCTGGTGCCAGGAGATCGGGAGGGGGTGTGGTCACTCTGGTGCCAGGAGATCGGGATGGGGTGTGGTCACTCTGGTGCCAGGAGATCAGGAGGGGGTGTGGTCACTCTGGTGCCAGGAGATCGGGAGGGGGGTGTGGTCAGTGCCAGGAGATGGGAGGTGTGTGGTCACTCTGGTGCCAGGAGATCAGGAGGGGGTGTGTGGTCGCTCTGTTGCCAGGAGATGGGGAGCGGGTGTGGTCACTCTGGTGCTAGGGAAAACCCAGAGGTCCCCAAGTGTTTGCATGGATGAGGTCAGTTACAACATTATTAGAAGTTTTTTCCCACTCTCACTCATTTATTTGGGAGCAGAGCATGCCTGGGCCACGGCCCATGTGTGCAAACCACAGGACACTTTCAGGAGCTGGTCCTCTCCCTTCCTCTGTGTGCAGGTCCCAGGGCTCAAACTCAGGTCCACAGGCTTGGTGGCAAGTGTGTCTATCTACTGATTCATTCATACCCCACCCCTATCCCCTGCCCAAGAAAACCGTGTTTTGTCCCTGCCACAGTGGCAAACAACTACATAGAAATAAGAAATGGATTGTTTCTATGCAGTTGTTCTAAAAAGGAAAACAGAATCCTTTAGCCAAAGACTAGGCAAGATAACAAAGAAACAAAAAACCCAAAAGTTCTGTATGTCTGTGTGTGTATCATGTGTGTGTATGTGTATGCAGGTGCACATGTGTGTATTGTATAGTGTGCATGTGTTTGTGCATACAGGGATACATGTTTATGTTATTGTATACAGGTGTGTGTATGTATTGTGTGTATATGTGTACGCAGGTGCACGTGTGTGTATATGTGTAGTGTGAATGTGTTCATGCATGCAGGTATACATGTGTATGTGTTATTGTATGCAGGTGCACATGTGTATATGTGTAGTGTGTATGTGTTCATGCATGCAGGTATACGTGTGTGTTATTGTATACTGGTATGTGTGTTTTATGTGTGTGTATGTGTATGCAGGTGCACATGAATGTCTATATATAGTGTATATGTGTTCATGCATGCAGGTATGCATGTATATGTGCTATTGTATACAGGCGTGTGAGTGTATCGCGTGTGTGTGCAGGTACACATGTGTGTGATGTGTAGTGTATATGTGTTCATATATGCAGGTATACATGTGTATGTGTTATTGTATACAAGTGTGTGTGTGTGTGCGCGCATGCGCGTGCATGGTGTGCATGCATATAGGTGGGAAAGACCTAGAACCCACACAGGTAGTTCTCCTCAGGAAGCAGAATTGAGGAAGGAGAAAGTTGAACAAGGTAATGAGCAGGGACCTTTGTTTTATTCTGTCCCATGAATCCCAGACCTAGCATGAGGCAAGTCTGCAATCAATATTTCATGAGCAAACAGATTAGGAACTGATGGGTGTCCATGGGACACATGTGGCACCTGTGAATTCTGCAAGTGGTGGAAGGAGCTTGGTAACTGTGGTCACAATATTGGGGTCTTAAGTAAGGAGAGGAATTAAAAGGAAACAGGAGAACGATGACGTGGTGTTAGCCCCACAGCCCTGGCCTGGGGCTGAAGCTCGGTTGGAGTGGTGCTTACCTAGCATTCTTGAAGCCCTGGGTCTATCCCAAACACTGCACAAACCAGGCCCAGTGGAGCACCACTGTACCCCAGCACTCAGGAGATGGAGGCAAGAGGACCAGGAGTTAAGGGCCAGTCTCAGCTATAGAGTGAGTTTGAGACCAGCTTTTGCTACCTGAAGCCCTGTCTCACAAACAACAAACAAACAAAAGCTCACTTGGTAGTCTACCCCATGACACACTGCCCTTGACCACGTGGCCAACAGTTGTCTCAGAGAAGTGAGCAGAGAAAGACCGATGCCTCTGATGTGGGGGTGGGGCAGGACCCCAGAACTCGCTCACACCTCAGCTCCCTCCTCTCCAGCTTCCAGCAGTGCCTGGAACAGGACACTAATCCTTTCAAAATTTGAATACTTCAGATTCCTCAACTCGCTAAGCTGCCAGGCAGCACAAACAGTTGTCACACACAGACACTGGGCTGGCTGCAGACAGCAAGGGGATACAGTGTGAGCCTCCTACCACTGGCCACAAGGCAGGCCCTGACTCTCCTTCCCAGTCTCCACCCAGCCCCGGCTGCTGTCTGGATGGCTGACTCAGGAGGGGCTCTGTCTGTCTCTTTAAGAATAAGTCATAAGGGACACAGACGCGGTCTATCAGGTAAAGGTTCCTACCAAAAAGAAACCTGGTGACCTGAGTTTGGTGTCCAGAACCCACATGAGGGAAAGATTTGGTACATTGCCCCCTGACCTCCACAAGTGCACGATGACACCCATGTGTGTGTGCGCTGATGTAAGTCATTAAAATGTGGAAAAGAAGTCATGCCGGCCAGTTTGAATTTGAATTTCCTTCCAAAACTACTAAAATTTTTTTTAAAAAAAGGTAAAGGTCTGTCTGACTCTCCTCAAAAGGATAGCATATGTGATGCCCACTGATGCCCACAGATGCCCGCTGTTGCCCACTGATGCCCACAGATGCCCACTGTTGCCCACTGATGCTCACTGATACCCACTGATGCCCACTGATGCTCACTGATACCCACTGACGCCCACTGATGCCCACTGATGACAAGCCTCCCCAGTGCCTAGCACAGGTCCAGGCTCCACTGTCCCCCTGGAAACTGACACAGTGTGAGGGAACGCGAAGTTCACATTGCAACTTAACTCAGAGGATGGGTGCTGTGTGTGCAAGGAAGGTCTGTCCTTGAGGCCTGTCGGCAGTGTACATCCTTCCGGGAGGGCCCCTGTGGTGACCATGAGAAACCACAGTGAATGAAGGGGAACTCGGGTCCTCTGTCCCTGGGCAAGTTCTCCAGGGACCACAGAAAAAACCCAAGGAATGTCCCTGCCTTCTCTCCTTTAGGTTCCCTCTTTGTCCTAACTATATTCTGGCTTCCTCCTCCTTTTCTTTCTCCTCCTCCTTTTCTTTCTCTTCCTCCTTTTCCTCCTCCTTCTCTTCTCCCTCCTTTTCTTCCTCCTCTTCCCTCTCCTCCTCTGAAGGGGCTGGTGTCCTGGCTCCTTTGACTTCAAAGGCAGCTACTATCAATCCAGAACAGTAGGAGGTCTCCAGCACTCTCTGTCCCTTGTCCCTGTGTTGGGGAAACATCAGACTGATGACGTCTAAGGTGAGCCCCTAACTGTACCCTTAGGAGATTCTATATAATTTCCTCTATCCCCAAAAGGAAGAGCCAGGCACTCCAAGAATAGTGTGGTCCACAGGGAAGCAGGCATGGATGTCTTTGGGGCTCAGGCATCTGCCATTTATCCCTGAGTCTGAGGCTGCCCAGAAAACATCTTCCAACCAAGGACAGTCACAGGTAGGATTAGGGAAACCCGGCCCTTTGAGCTGTGTCCACTGCAGTCTGCAGACTCAAGCCACAGCTGGAGCAAAGCCTTTCACGGCTCCTTTGTACCAGTGCCAGCTCCAGGATTCAGAGTGGCCCGGCGTTAGACACCAAGGTGGCTGGAGCACAACACAGCGCGCCTCTCAAGTTGTCGTGAGTCTTTCCTCTATGTGCCAGAGTCAGTGTATCCGAAGCCTCTGAGGGCCTTTGGATTAGAATGGTCCTCCATCCTACACAAGAGGATTCCAAGCGAGGTCAGATGGCCCATGCCGATGAGCCATATGTGAGCCCAGGGCAGAAACTGATGTTTTCAAGTCAGTCTGTGTCCATCTGTCCACCTGACCTTAATCCTCAGCGTCTCTGCTCTCCGTGTGGCCCTCTTTATGTGAGCCTGGCTGAAATTATTTTTTAAACATATTTCGTCAGTTATATAGGAAAGTTCTTTTTTATTACATTTATTTATGTTTGTGGAGGTCAGAGGACAATTTGTGGAAGTTGGTTCTCTCGCTTCATCCAGGGAATCCTAGAAATCGAACTCAGGTCATCAAATTTGGCAGCAAAGCACCTTTACCCACAGAGCCATTGAGCTGACCCCAAAGCGACTCTTTCCGCTGAGTTTTTGTCCCTTTGTCACCTTCAGGTCCTGGAGGTGCAGCTCAGTTACTTGTATGCACACTAGCGAAACCAAAACAGCTCCCAGAAGCCCGCATGTCTTCCTCCTGCAGCTTCGCCCAGGAAACCACTCTTCTGAGTTTTTGTTTTACTTTTCATTCCAGCTTCCTTTATTTAATGTGGAAGCCTGGCTTGAAACACACACAAAACCACATGCAGAACAGACTTCCATTCTGAGAACGGCCACGTTGGTATTTCAAGTGTAAAGGGACAGATTTTCTGCGATACTCACTTGGAATTACTTCCCATCCCTGCGAGCCTTTGGAAACCACAGTTCTTGGCTTGTTCCTTAATTGACTGCATCTAACTTAACACTTTCCCAAGAAAGGGGACATTTCTGAAGTGGCACATACAGGAAAGTCCCTGAGTGAACTGTAGGTGGCTCCCACAGTCACTTGTGACCCACAAAGTCAACCATTTGCACAAAATAGGCAAGGAAGGGCTTGGAAAATTGGGTGGGGGTGCAATTAAACTGTTGATGAGTTTGGTCCTGGGCCAATCAGCCTAAGACCAGGGACAGAACCAGGGTTTGATTTTTCTTTTCTTTTCTCTTCTTCTTCTTCTTCTTCTTCTTCTTCGTCTTCGTCTTCGTCTTCTTCTTCTTCCTTCTTCTTCTTCTTCTTCTTCTTCTTCTTCTTCTTCTTCTTCTCTCTCTCTCTCTCTCTCTCTCTCTCTCTCTCTCTCTCTCTTTTCCTCTGTATAGTCCTGGCTGAATTGGAACTCACTCAGTAGACCAGGCTGGATTCAAACTCACCACCTCCAGACTTGATTTTTCTAATATGTGTATACATGTGTTTGTGTATGTGTGTGTATGTGTGCATGTGGGGGGTGTTTATGGGTGTGCATACACATGTATGGATGGACATGTGTGTATATACATACGGTGGTCAGAGGTCAACCTCAAGTTGTCCACCTTGCTATTTTATGGTAGCATTTAAACAGCATGGTAGAACATGTCATTAATCCAGCCATGGGGAGGTAAATACAAGTAGACCCTGTGGGCTTGAGGCCACCCAGCCTGGTCTACATAGCAAGTTCCAGGCCAGCTGGGGCTATATAGAAACAAAATATAAACCTTTCTTGAAACAAAATAAAAACCACAGCTACGCTTACTGGGGGCACATGCTTGCCACAGCACATATATGAAGGTTAGAATTCCACTTACTGGAGTCAGTTCTCTCCCCTCGCTGTGTGAGTTCCAGGGACTGAACTCAAATCGTCAGGCTTGGCTGTTAGCGCCATTACCCAATGGGTGAGCCACCTTCCCTGCCTGCCTCCTTTCTATTGTTGCTTTATTTTGTTTTGTTTTTTGAGACAACGTCTCTCACTGGCTTGGAACTTGTCCATTCTGCTAAGCTGGGGAGGCAGTGAGACTAGGGATCCCCAGCTCCCCAGTACTAGGATCACAAGTGGGTGCCACCATCCCGGCTATTTTCATGCAGGTTCAGGGGATTGAACTCAGGTCTTCATGTTTGCAAAGTACTTTACTGACAGAGCCACCTCCCCAGCTAGAGCACAGAAGATTGCTGAACCTGGGATGCTGGAGGCGCCCCCACGAGCAGTTTCTAAAGTACAAGCTGAGGGAAAGGTGGGCTTTAGGTGGGGCAACAGTAGCTGTGTTGGATAGCCCAAAGAGCCAGCCCAGGCCTGGGCTGTAAGGTCTATTCCTGAGAACCACAAAGTGCAGACAGGTGGGATGTGAGGCTCTACCCTCTTATCCAAGCTTGTGAGGAGTCTGCCCCTCCATGTGGGTGACTTCGGTTTCCAGGTACCAACGGGTGTTTCCTTTTTAGGATAGTACTTCAGGAAGTCCTGCTCCTGAGGGCCCACAATTTTAATGCAGTTTTCAAACAGAGAAAGGGGCAGGTTTGATCCTCGACAGCTGCAGTGCGTCTTTGGAGAGACATATGCCGTATGGCTTCACAGCTGCTTTATCCCTGCTGTGACTGCAGCCGAGGGACAGCCAGGAGAGTGTTCATGTCTAATACCGTCTCGGGCTGTGTGCCTCCATTCACCAGAACCAAACCCAAGGCAAAGCTTAACCGGTGTCATCCCCAGGCTGGGTGACGAATACAATGATGAAGAAAGAGACCCTTGCCTGGTTCTCAGAAGCTGCTCCTCAGCCTGGGTTGTCCCTTGATCTCCACATTAAATCCTGAACCCCCTACCCGCAGTGATCTAACTCAGAAAGGACTCTACGCAGTGCCGGGTTCCTTAGGACCTAGCTAGGTGGTTCATCTCCCTTTGGGTTTTCAGCAAATTTATTTGGTCCTCTCTTGCCTGGCCTTCGTCCTCAACCTATGGGCCTGATATGGCAAATCCTGTTTCCTCTTCTGTTGTACTGTATGTCATGGCACCCAGTATGCTTTATCCTATTAAAATAAAACATGGCAGGAAGTGTTGCTCCGTCAGTGAGTGCCTGTCTAACATACATGAAGTCCTGAGTAAGCCCAAGAGTTGGTCCCCAGCATACTATAAAGATGGGTGTAGTGTGGTATGTGCCTGTAATCCTAGTCCGTGGGCTGTAGAGACAGGAAGATCAAGGATTTAAGGTCATCTTTGCCTTCATAGGGTATTCGAGGCTGGCCTCCAATCATGAGACAAGCTTGTCCCCGCTACAGGCTCCCGCACCACCCCCCTCCCCGGCACTCACATTCATCAGACATGCACACCAAGAATCCATATTCTAATCCACTTCCCAGGGGACTCTGACGCAGGCACGATGGCCCACCTTGTACGGGAGACATGCCCATAACCATGGTTCCTCCCTGCAACGTCCCTGTCCTCGTAGCCTACTGCAGGTCTTTTGACATTGTGACATGACACCGCCATTTATAAAGTTCATGCTCGGGAACTGTTCCATCAAGTCTTTAAAGCTTGCCAAAAAAAAAAAAAAAATCTTAGAATATTTTACATAAAGTTAGGATTCAGTTTTGGGCTACATTCCCATCTCTCCTCAGCCCGTGGGTCTCAGGATGGACCTGCCTGCTGGTGACAGCCAACACTCTTGGCTGTCTTCACTGTTTAGAAGATGACTTTGACCATGACCTTGGGAATCTTGACTCCACTCTTTTTCTCTCCAAGACCCTCCACATGCTTCCCAGACCTGCAAGGGCCTCGTTGCCGACTCTGCCTTCCCAGGTGTACGACGTTCCTGTCCAGAGCCGGATCTCCGCAACCCTGAAGGTAAGCTTCTCTGCACCCTTCCACACCCTAAGGTTTGGTGCCCCGTCTGAGTTCCCCAAGTCATTTACCATTGTGGTTTTCTTCATTCACAGTGCTGACTCCCTTAAGAAGAGCTTCCAGGGTTTATTTGGGTGGCTGCTAGGACATGTCTGTGCTTGTAGGCCTCCTCCACCCCACCCCCACACCTTGAGCTGAGAAGGTGCCCATGCTTAGACACACACGCACAAACACGTGCACGCACACTCACACACACAGGGGTAGGGAGAGAGTCAGGAGCCATTGAAGAGGAGCAGCAAGCAGGCCGGTCAGCATCAACACGATGGGGGTGTCTTGGAGAAGCAGAGTTCCAGGACTCCATTTCATGCTGTTGTTGAGCATGGCTCTGCTTACTGCCCTCACAGCCACCACGTCCCTTATAATCTCTGAGTCCCTCACCTCACCGGGCAGTGCCACGGCACTTACAATAAAAGTGATTGGCTTTTCCCCAGGCATTGCTGCTGAAACAGATTGATGATTCAGCCACCACCTTTAGAAAGAATTCAGAGATGTGATCGTTAGCAAAGTTAGTTTAAGATGTTTTGGTTAATGGCTTCGAGGTAGAAAATTTCAAAGAACAATTTATAGTTTAGAAAGGCACACTTCTGATAGTTGAGCAAAGGACTCGTTGAGGTCAGGGGCAAGAACAAAGGCAGCCTGTTATTACTGACTGACTCTTGTTAAAGATGGGTTGGTGACCAAAAGCAATAATTAATTTCTTGTACCCATTTTTGTCCTCAGCTTTCTGGTATGATTTAATAAAAAAATTATTGGTGAATGGGTGTGCACTTTGAGGACTTAAAGTAGAAATGACTTTTTTATATATAAAATTTATATTTGAGATTGTTTTTTATAAGATTACCCTTTGAGATAAATCATAAAATAATTGATCTTTTCTTTGTAATTGCAAACAGCTGCCTGCCAGTACAAAAGGAACTGACTATAATATTCTTGGCTTGCTTAAAACTTTGTTAATTAATTTTAAAAGAATCATTGCTTTGGGCTGACGATATTATGTTGGGAAAATTAATACAAAGGAAAATGTTTACTTGTGGACGTCTAAGAAAAACATGTGACTTAATCATGTGATTATAATTTCTTCCTCTGCAAAGATTTTAATTTGTTTTTGGAAAATATGTAACTTTTAGTTGTAAAGGTTATCTTTTCTTGCATAGAAATCTTTGCCTTAGGAGGCATAGAAGAGAGAAGAGAAAAATAAGAGAGGTAGAAGGAGAACATCAGCTGGGCGATGGTGGCGCACACCTTTAATCCCAGCACTCGGGAGGCAAAGGCAGGCGAATCTCTGTGAGTTCGAGACCAGCTTGGTCTACACAGCTAGTTCCAGGACAGGCTTCAAAGCCACAGAGAAACCCTGTCTCAAAAAACAAACAAAGAAGAAGAAGAAGAAGAAGGAGAAGGAGAAGGAGAAGGAGAAGAAGAAGAAGAAGAAGAAGAAGAAGAAGAAGAAGAAGAAGAAGGAGAACATCAGGGAAGATGGAGGAGGAGGACGTCAGGGAGGACGGAGGAGGACGTCAGGGAGGACGGAGGAGGACGTCAGGGAGGACGGAGGAGGATGTCAGGGAAGAAGGAGGAAGAGGAAAGCAACAGAGTAAAAAAAGAGAACAGAGAAAAAAACAGTAGGAGCAGACAGAGAAAAAAATAAAATGAAAAATTAAGCTTTGACCCTCAGAAAAGTTTTCTCTCCGTGCATGCAGTTGTGCTGACTCCACACCTCTTCGGTACCTGACCTGCTGAGGGCAGGTTCCTCAGCAAAAGAGAGAGGGAGACATAGAGAGACAGAGACAGAGCGATAGAGACAGAGAGACAGAATTGATTTTGGTTTAAAAAAACTGAGGGGGTTCAAGTTGGTGGTTGAGCACAGCTATCATAACATAACAAAGAACTGTGACTTTAGGCCCCAAAGTGTTCAGGGTTTTGTGTCTTTCATTGACAAACACTGAACTTGTGGAGTTTGTGTGGGAAATCCTTCGAAAAGAGAACTCAAAAGTTGCCCTTCTTTGCGGTCTTTCCCCAGAATCCGGAGAGACAGCAGTGCTACGACATACCCACCAGCTCCCAGAAGGCAGCGCTCCACTCCTCTGCCAGCCAGGCCAGTGTGAGTATGAACAGACGGGGATGCGGAGCTAGGCGACTTTATTAGCTAGATGAATTGCCATCTTTCTGCTGCTCTGACGAGATACCTGAGAGAAGCAACTTATGGAGAGGGAAGGTTTACTTTGGTTCACTGTTTCAGAGCTCACAATTGGTTGTTGGTTGCTTTGAAAACTGTGGTGCAGTGCACCTCTGCGAGAGCACATGAAGAAACGAGATGCTTGCTCTATGAAGGCAAGGGAACAAAGAGAGAGAAGAGAGGGTTGGAGTTCTAGTATTCCTTCATGGTGACAGCCCCAGTGGCTCAACTTCCTTCTGCTAGGCTCCAGCTTCCAAAGGAGCTGTTCACCTTCTAACAGCAGCTCATGCTAAGGACAAGCCCTCAGTATCAAGGAACATTCCAGATTCACATTGTAGCACTTGACTAAAAGGCAGGTTCAGAGTCCTGTAACAAGCTCCACTGCCCTGAAGGTGAAACCTCTCCTTGCCCTGCTATCCAGGACTAAGGCAGTGGGCTGTAGCAATGGCTCTGTTGGTAAGAGCTCGCCTTGCAAGTGCGAGGAACTGAGTTTGGCTCTCCTTAGCTCACATTCTTTCTAAAAAGGGGAGTTGGAGAGTTGGTGAAGAGCACTGGCTGTTCTTCCTGAGGTCCCAAGTTCCCAGCATCGACACGACGGCTCACTGGAGTCTATAACTCCAGTCCCAGGGAATCTGATGCTCTTTCCCAGCCTCCACGAGTGGCAGATGTGCACGTGGTACACATACATGCGGGATGAACACCCATATACATACAATATTTCAAATGCTGAGCACAAGCCAGTAGTCCCAGAGTTGGGAAGGTGGAGACAGGAGGATTGCTAGAGATGATGGGCCAGCAAATCTATTGAGTTTTAGGTTCATTGAGTCACCCTGTTTCAAAATACAAGGGGAAGAACAATAGAAGAAGATTCCCAGTGTACATCTCTGACCTATGGAGGGGGGGGGGGCAGAGAGAGAGAGAGAGAGAGAGAGAGAGAGAGAGAGAGAGGGAGAATGGTTAGGTTGTTTAACTTTCCCATGCCTCCATTCTTACTGCACATTCTGGAATATTCTGTGAGCTAATTGGTATAAGCCACAGAGAGAAAGCTCAGCAGGTGCTAGGGAATGGCGTCTTGTGAGGGATCACATAGGCGTGTTGTCTCAAAGCACGTGTCACCTTTGTGCAGAGGAACATCATTTGAGGTCCCTCGTGAGGGGGACATTTGTCATTGCACTCGACCAGATGTGTCCCACAGGCATGGTCCCATTGAGGGAGTATGGGATTCGGGAGATCTTCCAACACTGCTGCATCTCAGCATCATAGTGGGTGAGGCAGAAGTTCGTGAGATGTGAGAGAAAAGGTTACAGAGGCCATGAGGAGCAGAGGGAGCAACTGGGACGTTAGACAAGGGGGTATGAGGGAGGGTTCTGAACTATGGAGAGAAAACCAATGTAGGAAGGGGGATGCTGTATTAGTTCCCTTTGCTGTGATGAGACCACCGTGACCAAGGTAACTTATAAAATGGAGCATTTAATTGGGGTTATGGCTCCAGAGGTTAGACTCCATGATGGAAGAATAAAGGCATGGCAGCGGGAAAAGCTGAAAGCTCAGATCTTGAACAATTAGCAGAGAGCACAGGGGTGGTGGGAGGCTTTTGAAGCAAAGTCTACCCTTGTGACTCATCTCTTTTGACAAGGCCATGCCTAATACTCTCAGACACGTTCTCCAACTGGGAAGCAAGCATTCTAACATAGGAGCCTATGAAGGCCATTCTTATTCAGACCTCCACCGACATGCAGGAGTGGGGACAGGCAAAGATGGGCTGTGGAAAGAAAGGGGGTTCAGAAGGAGGTGAGGTCAGGCTGTGAGGGACCTTGAGTGACAAGAGCAGCAGGGAGACACTGAAGGAACCTGAGCAAGAGTGCCACTCAGAGGTAAAGACCCTTTCAAACGCTTCCGATCGCTACTCACCCGGACAGCTTCGTGTGGTTTTCCCGCAGGGCCAGAGGGTTGTGCTGACACCAACAGCTGCCTTCAGACAAGGTGGTGGCTACAACACGTTATCCACCCCTCAGCAATCAGAGTGGAGGAACAACGCTCCAGTGTTGCTGGGAAAGGCCGAAGTCAGAAATGCGTCTCTGACCAGCTTCACCAGAGAGTCGGGGTCCAGTGCCGATCCAGGATACCCATCCGCTGTGCGCACTGGAGCTGTGACTCTCTCCCCACAGCCGGACAGCAGAGTGCAGAAGAAAAGCAGCCCCCCAGAAGAGCCTTCCTACGCTGTCCCGGCACCCAGAGACTCACTTCCTTCGGATGCGGTCAGCAGCTACAGTGTCCCTTCCAGGTTTCTCATTCCCAGAGTGGAGCAACAGAACACCAAGCCCAACATTTATGACACCCCGAAAGCCACACACGGTGTGTCTCAGGCTGGGAAGGAGCTGGAGGAAGTCAAAGAGGTTCCAGAGACTATCCCCTGGATCTCCAGACAGCCAAATTCCCTGTCTCCTGACTCAGACCAATTGTCGGTTGCCAGCTCAGACAGCAGAGCAAGTATGGTGTCTTCGTGCTCCTCCGTGTCCATGGACTCCTCCCCCAGCACCTCCTCTGAGGACTCTGCGAAGGAGCTGTGGATGGACGTGGATTTTGCCAAAGAGACGGCAATGGCCCTGCAGCACAAAGTGGCCAGTTCTGCAGCGGGCCTGCTGCTCTACGTAAGCAGGACTTGGAGGTTCAAAGACTCCTTGGAGACCAACATTCGCATGATACGAAGGGCCGCGGACCACATTGAAGAATCCTTAAGAGAGTTTCTGGATTTTGCCCAAGGGGTTGGTGGGACTGCTGGCAATCTCACGGACAGCCAGCTTCAGGCTAGGATTAGAGATCAGCTTCTAATAATCTCGGGTTCCTACCAGATTCTGCTGGATGCAAAGGGAAACCTAGACCGCTGCAACTGGCCCCTTGATGTTCTCGTGACAGACAAAGTCCAAAACAACCTGGATGACCTGGAGAGGTTTGTCATGGTGGCGAGGATGGTTCCAGAAGATGTCAAGAGATTTACCTCCATTGTCATTGCCAACGGCAGGCTCCTTTTTAAACAGAACTGTGAGAAAGGAGAGACGGAGCCAAAGTGCGAAAGATGCATCCAGCCCCCCCAAAGAGAAACCCAGTCAAATGAACACTGCCTTCAGCTGGTAAAGAAAAGCAGAGTGACTGTCTGTGGACAGGTGAGTTCGGGTGACAAACAGTACACCAGGGAGCCTCATTTGTCTCCTGAAATGGTCACCAGAGAGGGAGATGCCTGGAATGTGTGCACGTGGAAGTGTGCACCTGTATGTGTGTGTGGAAGCCAGAGGACAACCCTGGCTGCTTTTCCTCAGTGTCTCCCGCTGACCTGGAAGTGGCCCAGTAGGCTAGGATGGCTGGAAAGTGGGGCCTAGGGAGCCGCCTTCCTCTGCCTCCCTAGCACTGGAGTGACAAGCTTGTGCCACCACACCCAACTTTTCCCATGGGTTCCAGTGGCTGAACCAGGTGCTTGTCCTTGCAAAGCACCTCATTGAACTATCTCCCAGGCCCTCTGTATGTGTGTGCATGTAGTGTGCTGTCTGCCTCTGCCATTCTCTGTCTTGTTTTTATTGTTGTTCTTTTGGTTTGTTTGTTTGTTTGTTTATGACAGGGTCTCACTGTGTACTCTTGGTCTGGAACTCAGAGAGCTACCTCCACCTCTCCCTCTCTGCCTCCTGAAGGCTGGGTTTAAAGGCATTTGCCACCATGACTGAAATCATTAAATTTTCTACTCTTTATTTTGGAAAGAATGGCCCTAAATTGCCCAAGCAGGTGTTGAACTTGGGCCCCTCCTGCCTTAGCTTCCTTTCCTAGTTAGGGTTTTTGCTACTGTTATAATAAAACACCATGGCCAAAATCAAGTTGGGGAGGACTTTATTTGGCTTACACTTCCACATCATAGTCCATCACTGAAGGAAGTCAGGACAGGAACTCAAGCAGGGAAGGCACCTGGCTTGCTCCACATGGCTTGCTCAGTCTGCTTTCTTACAGAACCCAGGACCTTCAGCCCAGGGGTGGCCCACCACAATGGACAGGGCCCTTCCACATCAATCACTAGTTAAGAAAACACCCTATAGGCTTGCCTACAGCCTGATCTTATGAGGACATTTTCTCAATTGGGTTCCCTCCTGTCCCATGACACTAGCTTGTGTTATGTTGACATAAAACTATCCAGCACATCTCCCATGATGCTGAAGTCACAGACCTGTGCTGCTACCTGCCAGGTTTCTCCGCATTTCTAGGTTGTCATTGTTGATGTGTTTCTCAGAGTCACAGGAGGAAAACACACATTCTCCCTGATGCTGGACTGACCAGCCTGCTGCTCCAGGGACTCCAAGAAACACTTCTCTGGCTGACTGCCTTTGGACCCACAAGGAGACCCTTGAGTTCAGGGACTATCAGACTGCAGAGACCCAGCAAGTCACTGTGACAGCAGACAGTTGTCACTTCCCAGGTTCTTCTGAAGTGCCTGGCTGATAGAGGAGAGTTGACATATTCTAAAAAGTTGGCTGTTTTTAATTTCCACTTTATCAGCCCTTTGTTGCCAATGCCAATGAATGCATCCGTAGGCAGAAGCATGAACAGAACCTCCCGTTTAAGAGTAAATTTAAGTGGGGCACAGTGGTGCATGCTTGTAACCTCTGTACTCAGGAAGCTGGGGAGGAGGTGGTGAGTTCCAGGCCAATCTAGGCTACATGGCAAGATCTTGAGAGTGGGGATGGGGCATAAAAACCACCAACCATAACAATGAAACAAAAAGGTAAGCTTAAACAGGCATAGCTAGTCAAATTAGTAATCTGAAGATTTAATTTTTTCAGAAGCCACCTAACCCACAAGAGAAAGGAGAGCCTATCTTGGAACAAAGGTCAGATGAAAATAAAGATTTCCATGCCATGGTAAGCCCTCATGCTCTCCACGGCTCTGATGAATATGATTTGCCCTGGAGAACTCTCCTTGGTCTATGAAAATGCAGAGTTATAGCCTAGTCCATGCTAGTGACATCCATCTGCCTCCTGCTCTCCTTAGTGATGGAGGGACCCTGGGCACCTGGGGGGTGATGGAGGGACCCTGAGCACCCGGGTGGGTAATGGAGGGATCCTGAGCACCCGGGGGGTAATGGAGGGACCCTGAGCACCCGGGGGGTAATGGAGGGACCCTGAGCACCCGGGTGGGTAATGGAGGGACCCTGGGCACCCGGGTGGGTAATGGAGGGACCCTGGGCACCCGGGTGGAGCACGCACCCCTAAGCATCAGGGAAAGAACTCTAGGTGCTCCTCGGAGTTGTCACGGCTTGCAACCACGTGACATTAAATGACACTGTCACAAGCCCTGTAAGAATTTTCTCTTTCCTTCCCTCCTGTCTTTATCTTTGGAACTGAATCTAGGGCTCTGTGCAAGACAGGTAAAGTCCACTGAGCCGCACTCAGCCTGGCAACCCTTTCATGTTTTGATGATTACAGTAAAACATTTGAGGGGGAGTGTTAATGCTTCTTCATAGTATCTTTGACACCTGATCAGTGTCTTTTAAACCAAAGATTTTATCATTCTTTGATCTTCTTGGCTGCCTTCTATTTGTGGCAGAAAGCAGTTTTCCACTTACCAACTTTAAATGTTTTCTCTAAATTAAATAAAGTATGAACAATGAGTCCAGGGCTAGGGAGATGGCTCGGTGGGTAAGAGTGCTTGTTGTGTAGACCTGAGTTCAAAACCCCAGAACCAAAAAAAAAAAAAAAACCCAGAACCCATATAAAAAAGCCAGGCATGGCTGGCTACCATGTGCTTGTAACCCCATCATTGGGAGGCAGTGGGTAGAGACAGGCAGATTCTGGGATCTCACTAACTAGTCAGCCTAGTCAAGATGGGGACCTTCTGGTTCTGTGAGAGACCTATCTCAAGGCAATAAGACAAAGAAAGACTGGGGAAGAAACTGGACACCATGTTTTGGCTTCTGAATGCATGTGCACAGTGAATATCTGTATATGTGCATAATTTCAACACACACACACATGCAACGAGTCCATTTAAAAACCAAGTAAGAAGCCAGCCAATGTTGAGAGGCAAGAGAAGTGAAGGTTATAGAAACTGTCGAGTTGCAGTAAACCAGATCAACAACTGGGGTATTGGAGAGAGCAAAGGAGGACAGAGGTGTCCACTGACTTGGACAGGGTGTCTGCCTTCTCAGAGCTCACCTAGCACTTGACTTTGGTTTTGCATCCCTGGCAAGTGATGCAAAGTGATGCAAGTCAAGTCCAGGAGCCACATCTGACAGGGCTGCTTCACACTAACAGGGCTTCCTCGTTGGCTCTGGGGACAGGGCTCCATATACGGGATGCCCCACTCAGCACCCCAGGACTCCTGCCCACTAACTACCTGAAGCGGTTCCTCATTAAGAAATAATGATAGGGTGTAGTAATAGGGGCGGCGGGGCTGCGTTCCCAGCACCCCGGCCGCCTGCTCGGCTAGCTTATGCCCCAAAATAATTACACAGACACTGTATTCTTTTAAGCACTGCTTGGCCCTTTAGCTCTAGCACTTACAGGCTAATTCTCACATCTTAATTTAGCCCATTTCAAATCATCTGTGTGTAGCACCCCAAGGTGCGCTTACCGGGGAGATTCTAGCCTAGTCCATACTGGGTTGGAGCTTCATGCCGTGAGCGGGGCATGGCGTCTCTCCCAGGCGTCTGCTCCAGAGAGGAGAGCTGTCGAGACTCTGAGCTCACTTCCTCTTCCTCCCAGCATTTTGTTCTGTTTACTCCTCCCACCTATCCTCTAACCAATAAAATGGGCCAGGGCAGTGCCTTTATTAGCCAATGACCTTCCTCCATCAATAGGGGGCTGGAGAGATGGCTCAGTGGTTAAGAACACTGACTGCTCTTCCAGAGGTCCTGAGTTCAATTCCCAGCAACCACATGGTGGCTCACAACCATCTATAAAGAGATCTGGTGCCCTCTTCTGGCGTGCGGGCATACATAGAGGCAGAATGTTGTATACGTAATAAATAAACCTTTTAAAAAAAGGAAAGAAAGAAATAATGATAGCTTCCTCCCCATTCTTGCCCCAGGTAAAGCATCACTATGTTTTAAGTTTGCCTACACTTGATATTTTCAAGCCAAGATGCTCATGATACAATGTCTGCCTCACCACATCGGTCAGGCGAGTCTTGAGCTGGCAATCTTCCTGTCTCCACCTCCAGAGAGTGGGGATAAACACCTAGTTCCCCAACTTCTTGAACATTTGAAAGTTGCAGATTTATCTTTATCAATGTGTTCCTTAGAAAGTGTTTCTTACGGTTTACAGAGCTGGTTGAATAAAACAGCATGCACAGACGCACTATGATCTGTAACACAAGAATACACAGTTGCATGCCTAACAGTGCTACCACCTATAGTACAAGAACACACAGTTGCATGCCTAACAGTGCTACCACCTATAGTACAAGAATACACAGTTGCATGCCTAACAGTGCTACCACCTATAGTACAAGAATACACAGTTGCATACACAAGAATACACAGTTGCATGCCTAACAGTGCTACCACCTATAATACAAGAACACACAGTTGCATGCCTAACAGTACTACCACCTATAATACAAGAACACACAGTTGCATGCCTAACAGTGCTACCACCTATAATACAAGAATACACAGTTGCATGCCGAACAGTGCTTTGAAAACATTGGCATTGGCCAGCTCTGAATTTCCTTAGCAAACCTTTTTCTTACAAGGGTTCTTGCAAATCGAACCCACACAGGAGAAGATTGATAGCTGCAGCCTGCTGATGGTCCTAGCCCTTACGTATTCTCTCCTTCCTCTCCTCTAGAGCCCAAGCTCTCTTCCCTCTCCCGCTCCCAATCGGCAGGATGCAGACAGGAAGATCCACCTGTCCGAGCACTGCAGGCTCTATTTTGGAGCACTCTTTAAAGCCATTGGCGTCTTTACCAGCAGCCTGAGCAACAGCCAGCCCCCTGAGGTCTTCATCACTCAGAGTAAGCTGGTCATTACAGTCGGGCAGAAGCTGGTGGACACACTGTGCAAGGAGACCCAGGACAAGGATGAACGCAACGAGATCCTGCGTGGCAGCAGTCACCTGTGTGGACTGCTCAAGGACCTGGCACTGGCCACCAAGAATGCGGTGATTAAGTACCCGAGCCCCAGTGCCCTGGGCTGCCTCCAGACAGAGGTGGAGAAACTAGAGCATCACACTCGGAAATTCAGAGAGACATTGGAATGAAGCCTTTTCTAACACCTCCTAGAGAGGTCAACTCCTGGCTAGCTCTGCAGCTACAGCTGGTGTCTCTGTCCTGTGGAAAAGCCAGTCACATGGGTTCAAACAGCCACAGCCCTCAGAGCTGGTATTAGTAAGTGGCTGAGTCTCCAGAGGACACCGGTTGACCACAAGGAGGTCAAGCAGAGGCAGGTGACAAGTCAGGTGACAACTTTGTGATGTTGAACTCACTGTGCCAAGGTGCGCAGCACCAACAGCGGGAGTGGCATTGTAGAAGCCATATTTTGTGCCGGTCAAATATGTGTGCGGTTTACAGTCATTCTACACTTATTTATTTAGGCAGCACCTACGGTCGTGGTAAGGGGACTGAAGTGACAGCAGGTTATCAGAGGTTCTGCCCTCAGAGTCAGTCTGATCGGAAAGACAGATGAAGAGACAAAGAAATGTCTTCAGTCTGTCCACTGCTGAAGAGAGAGGAAAGTTGGGGAAATGGGATAGAGGAACTCATTTTTAATGGATTTATTTCTGTTGCATTCATCAGAAAATGTGGTGACCTGCAGGGATTGCTGGTGCCTGTCTTTAAGTCCAGCACTCGGGAGGCAGAAGCCACAGAAGCCAGGCCAGTCATAAGTTCCAAGACAAAGAGGGCTATATAGAGAGAACCTGTTTATTTTTTTTAAAAGCCTCCCAAAAGTAATGATAGTTTGTCTTTTTTATCAGTTAGTTTTGAATTAATACTGTGAGATGAATACAAATTGCGCGTGCGTGTGTGTGTCAGTGCGTGCGTGCACGTGTCCGTGTGTTGCTAGAGAATCTAGGGTTCCATGCATGCTAAGCATGTACTCTGCCACTAAGATTGATCCCCTAGTCCCCCCAAAATGTATTTTGGCTATGTTACCTCACCCCAAAGATGACTGTTATGTGTTCTGTTGGGTTCCCTACTAACTTATTTTGTATGTTATATATGTGTCAGTCAGTTCCACAGCTCAGTTAGATTATTAGTTTTTATTTCACTAGTCTCAAGTCTTATATTATTTATCTGTAATCATGGGTTTAAACACATTTTCAAAGTGCTGGGAGATGACTCAGGAAGTAAAGGCACCTACCGCCAATCCTGATTGCCCGAGTTCTACTCCAGGGCCCCACGTGGTGGAAGGAGAGAACCGACTCCTGATAATTGTCTTTGAATATCCACACACACACACAAAAAACTAAACTGTAACTTAAAAATAAAAACCCAGAAGCACCCTGGCAGCAGTCCTTCCTTGGAAAAGTCTCTGAGCCACGTCTCCCGAGCACCGGGATCAAAGTGAAGAGTTTATTGAAAATGTCTCCTCTTTGAATGCAGCTGCAGGAGTGTGTGCAAGTCTGTATATGTCAGCCTGGACTGGAAAGCAAAGCCATCATTTGTGTGTCTGGGGGGGCAGGAAGATGTGGCATAAGATGACACCCACACTGTTCACAGCCATGGAGGTGTTACCAAGCGCCCCTCATGCAAACCACTTCCTTTCTTTCCTTGAAGCTCAACCTTTCAGTTCATGTCACCATGGTTACCTTATCCTTCACTCCATGGGAAGATCCCTGTCTCTCATGTCACATGACACCTTCACAAAGCATCTTCAGGCTGTGTCTCCTGCAGTGGTGCCAAGGCCAACTTCTATCATTTGTACATGTGGTGGGCACTTTTAACATAGAGACGGTAGGGACTAGAGAGATGGCGCAGCGGTTAAGAGAAGACCCTGGTTTGGTTCCCAATATCCACTTGGTGGCTCACAACCATCTGTAACTCAAGTTCCAAGGGATCTGACAACCTCGTCTGTCCTCCTCAGGCAGCAAGCATGAAAGTGGTATAATATATACATGTCCATATAAACATGTCCTTACATTGTCATACATGCAAACACTCATACACATAGAATAAAAATAAATCCCTTTTAGAATACTGAGTGTAGTGGCCAGAGAGCAATTTCTTTTCTTCCAGAGGACCAGAGTTCAAATCTTAATACCTCCCTCAGGTATTAACTGCCTGAAACCACAACTTCAGGAGATCCAATGTCCTCTAGCCTCTGAGAGCACCCATGCAGCACACACATACACATCAACATAAATAATAAAATCTTGTTTTAAAAAAATGTTGCATGTAGAGCCAGGTGTAGCAGTACATGTCTGCAATTCCAAAACACTTGGAAAGTAGGTAGGAAGATCAGAAGTTCAAGGCGAGCCTGGGCTACATGAGCCCCTCTCTCAAGAGAACAAAACAGGAGCTGGGTGGTGGTGGCAGACGCCTTTAATCCCAGCACTCAGGAGGCAGAGGCAGGAAGATTTCTGTAGTTCGAGGCCAGCATGGTCTACAAGAGCTAGTTCCAAGACAGGCTCCAAAGCCACAGAGAAACCATGTCTCGAAAAACAAAACAAAACAAACAAAAACAAACAAACAAACAAAAAGAACTAAACAGAAGTAACGGGAGCAAATGGGAGCAGGAGAAAGAGTGGAGAGAGCAGGTGGACTCAAGCAAGCTAACAGCCACTGCCTAGAGTGGCTGCTGTTTTCACTTAGTCTCATGATCCTAAAACATGGGAGACTTGGACTCAGCCCGGAGGGTCACACATCACACCCTGAACAACAGGGTCTCACCTGCTAGGATCCTGCTGTGGGTGTGAAAGTTGTGACCACTCTGTCTTACATGTTGGGCTCTCGAGACAACCTGCAGCCAACTGGTTACATGGCTGGCTGACTTGAGGGCCTCCAGGGGCGTCAAGGAGCAGCTTCGGGGTCCCACACTCTGAGTCAACTATGGTGGCAAAGTGACTGCCTTGGGATTTATGACCAGAAGAGAAGGGACTTTGTTTTGCTTATACTACCATAAATTGGGTGCCTGGCCATGACAGTCCGACACACACACACACACACACACACACACGCACACACACCTCACTTCTACATTCCCACACACCCGTACCTACTCACATAATACATCCCCCACACTCACTCACAGACATACTCAAACACACACACACTCCCACACATACTCATTTCCACATTCCCACTCTGTTACACACACACACACACACACACACACACACACACTGACATCCACACATACCCCCACTCCAATAATCCTACCACTGGCTCTGTGTGTCACTGTGATGCATCTAGATTCTTCCTGCCAGTTCTATGAACACAGAAAAAGAACCAAAGTTCTGGGAGAAGAGGCTATGAGGGTGTGCCCAAGCAACCTTTGGCATAAATAGTCACTTGGGACACTTCCAGGACCCAGAACAGTCATACTCGGTGCTATGATTCATTTCTTACTTCTTTTTTTGTCTTTTCTTTTTTTTTATGGTTTTCAAGACAAGGTTTCTCTGTGCAACCTTGGAACTCACTCTGTAGGCCAGGCTGGCCTCAAACTCATGGAAATCATCCTGCCTCTGCCCGAGTGCTGGATTAAGGTGTGTGCCACCACTGCCCAGCACTGTGATTCATTTCTGTGACAGGGAAGAGACTGTAGGGGTCAGATGCATGGGAGCCAGGAACAAGCTTCCAAAAGCCAAGATCACGCCACAAACTGTAGCACCATACATAGGGCGTTGCCAACCAGAGGGGCTCATGAGGTATATATATATATTCCATATATCCAGGCTTCCAGGGGAAAGCAGATGGTTAGCCTGAATCTCACTGTAAGTATAGCTTAGGTGCAGAAAGCTATGTTTAGCCATTCTGAGCATGGTGAAAAGCCTTCCCAATTCCAAGTTCCCATGTGCCAATTAATGGTCACTCTTAATAGCTGACTCTCCTAAGCATGGCAGTCAGGCATGCTGCAAACACATGCACAGAGACAAGGACTCACAGCACCAAAGCAACTGCACTCATTTTCACGCCGTTGACTGACTGATGCATGTCCGTCCAGCCCCATGAGGTAATGCAGAGGGGAGCTCAGGTGAAACCAAGGAGCTCTTAGTTTAGGAATGCCCCCAACTCTTACAACAGATCCTAACCTATCCAGTGGAGCTGTGTCTCTGAAGTCACCATATTTATCTGATTTTCAGCAGCTGGCATTTGGGAGGCAGAGACATGAGCATTGCTGCAAGCTGAGTAAAACCAGGGCTATATACTTAGACTGTCTCGATTTTTAAAAAGTATACCTATATCTATCGATATAGATATTGATAGGTACAGATACATCCATTTATAGATATATCTGATAGATATTCCTGTGAATTTGACATCAGCCTAGTATAAATAGCAAGTGTAAATATAGCAAGTTACAGGCCAGCCAGGGCAACACATCTCAAAAAATAATAATAGGTATCTAACTACTGATAGACAAACAGATAGATAGATAGATAGATGCATTTTTGACCAAAAAAAACTGTCCCATACTCTTTATCTTATTTTTATCTTCCAAGGTTCTCAGCCACAGCTGAGATAATTCAGAATAAAATGTCATGCGATCTGCTCAGATGTGCAGAAATGGAAGACACCCATTAGGAGTTATCTTCCAGTGAGGTCGGGGATGCAGCTAGATGCAGGGATGGATGCAGCTGGAGGCAGGAAATGCTGCAGGGAATCAAAGGGTATAAAACCCTTCTTGCTGCGGAAATACTGGTTTTTACTCATTGATATGACTGCTTCTATTTGCACTGCTTCCTTGGCTCAGCGCTGCCCTAACGCCTCACAAACTTGAACCCAGCCCCTCCCCAGTGACAGACAGTCTAGCAGCTTGTGGCCCGATGCTGCTTTTCATATTTTTAAATTTCTCAGTTATGTTCAAACCAAGAACTGTTGTCGAGGGATGTGGGTCAGTTGGTAGAGTGTGTGCTTAGCATGCAGGAAGGAGGCCCTGAGTACCAGCCCCAGAACCTCATAGACAGTGCTAGCACACTCCTGTTCTCCCAACACTCAGGTGGGGAGGGGCAAGGGCAGGATTTCAAGGTCATCTCCAAATACTACTACGGACTTTGAGGCCGGCCTAGGCTATGAGATCCTAGCAAGTAGGCAAGCAAAGAAAATCTTTATCCATAGAGAGCAAGCACTTTGTGTACAGACTCATGAGAACTACTGCTCACAGCCGTGAGTGCCTTTCCCTTTGAGCACAGACAGCGGTCATCATGGGAGCGAGCCTCCCCAGGTTGACTTCAGAGGACGGCCCAGGAGCTTTAGAACCAGACGCACTTTGTTGGCTTTTGGCAACGTCTTGACAACTAAGTGTTTCTAATACCCAACATTCTGCAGCATTTCCTCCACAAAAAAGGAAAGGAAACGGTGGGCGGTGGAGAGAGCAACTTGGCCTCGATTGAGTTCGGTTCACCAAGAGGATGGAAGTGGTGAGGCCCACCTGAGAGATCGCCCAGTGTGACAAGCACTGGGGAGTTGTGTATTCGCTTTGGTGTAAATACGTTCTTTTTCTGAGAGAGGGTCTTGCTGCGGAGCCCAGACTAGCTTCAACACCACCATCTTCCCAAGTCCTAGGATTGCAGGCATGGATCATTCCCCAAACAGGTAATATGTAGAAAATACCTTCTTGGGCCAGTGGCTGAGACGGATCAGTGGATAAGGTGCTTCTTGCCAAGCCTGTGCTCAATTCACAGGATCTGTATGGTGGGAGGATAGAACCATCTCCTGTAAATTGTTCTCTGGCCTACACACATGAGCTGTAGCCCACACACATACATGCTGGCAAAACATCCATACACATAAAGTAAAAAGAAATTTTAAAAACTTTTGAGGGGCTGGAGAGATGGCTCAGTGGTTAAGAGCATTGCTTGCAGCCCTGAGTTCAATTCCCAGCAACCACATGGTGGCTCACAACCATCTGTAATGAGGTCTGGTGCCCTCTTCTGGCCTGCAGGCACACACACAGACAGAATATTGTATACATAATAAATAAATAAATATTTAAAAAAAACTTTTGAAAATTCTAATATATCATTTTTTTAGGCAGGACAGAAAGGAAAAAACTTTTTTTGTTGTTTTTGTTTGGAGACAGGGTTTCTCTGTGTAGCTTTGGCTGTCCTAGAACTTGCTCTGTAGACCAGGCTAGTGTCAAACTCAGAGATCTGCCTGCCTCTGCCTTCTGCAGGGCTGGGATTAAAGGAGTGTGCCACCACAGCCTGGCTAGAAAGGAAAATATAAAGAAACACAGGAAGCGGAGGAAACTCTTACCTAGGGTCAATTCGCATTTTCCACAGACTGAGAGAAACACAACATAACTGACTAAATCATGACTGCTTGCAGACAGATCTCTGTGAGTTCAAGACCAGCCACGGCTACACAGCCCCTGTCTCAAGAAGAAAAAGGGGAGAAGGAAGAGAGGAGGGAGGTGGAGAAGGGAGAGGAGGAAAAGGAGGTAGGAGGAGGGAGGGAAGGAAGAAAAAAGATTGCCTACAGAAACTACATTCCTTTTAAAAGAGATATGTTAAATAAGTACATTTAGCCAGGCATAGCTGTACACGCCTTAAATCCCAGGACTTAGGGGGCAGAGGCAGGCATCTCCATGAGTTCCAGGCCAGCCAAGGGCACATAGGGAGACCTTGTCTCAAACAAACAAACAACAAAAAATACTAGGAGTGTTAAAAACAATAAAAATACTGAGGACATTCTGAATTGGGTAGAGTGCCCCCTAACACACACAGCGCCTGGGGCACCATGCCAGTGCTGCACAAGCTGGCTGTGGTGGAGCACACCTAAAATCCCAGCACCGAAGAGGTGGAGGCTGGAGGGTCACAAGTTCAAGGTCACCCTTGGCAGTAGGGAGTTCCACCTTTCTTCCAACCACCAGCACTACTCTGCTTCCTCAAGGGCAGGATGCTTGTGAGCCTTGGGTCTCTCTGTATTAGTACGCTACTCCTATCCCTGAACCTGGACAATGCACCCCATGACGGGAAACTGAGTGAGCCCGCTCATTATTTTGTACCTAATCTGTAGACTTCACTTGATCTCAGAACTTTGCTGCAAGCTGCATCCTTTGTGTTATGTAACTTCAGAAGCCACAAAATCAGATGTGTAGCTATGGTTAGACACCTAAGTGTGACTCCCCCACCTTGAAAAGCCCATACCCAAGTCCTGGGTGTTTGGTATTGTCCCTTTCTAGTGTGTGTGTGTGTGTGTGTGTGTGTGTGTGTATACATACATACACATATGTATTTATGACATGTTAGAAAAACATAGTCTACCACTGAGATATATCCACAGTCCTTAAATTTTTTTTCAAGACAAGGTCTCACTCTGTAGGCTAGGCTGGTCCTAGTACATGCCATGGAGGCTCAGGCTAGCCTTGAATTCAACTCACAAGATTGAAGGCACAGACATAAGGCATCGTTTTGGGCCTATAGCCACCTAGGATGCCAGGAACAGCAGAGCCCCAGCTGACAGACCACTCCCCTAATGAGGGCGAAGCACAGAAGAAACGGTTCTTCTGAGACTACCTGTTCACCTCAAGCAGTGAGACTTCAGACTGGCCAGCAGAAATCAAGGGGACCACACTTGCCCAGGACGGCTTATACGTGCCTTTCGCCCCTGTTGTTCCTCTAGGCCTACAGCTCATACCCGCACCCCGCATACAGGCTGGGTTGTCGCTGAACCCCTGATTTGTCCTCTTCCCAATATGGCCAACTTGAATATATCCCTTCCTCTGCCTTTACCGTCACTAATCTCTTTCACGGGAACAATGGGATGGGTAGCTAAGCTTAGCTTATTGGTGACACTGGAGCCCCAGACTTTGCCCTTAAAAACCTGGATACAGGATGCAGAGCTGGTTCAGTGGCTAAGAAGGCTTGCTGTTCTGTGAGTGGACGTGGATTGGTTCCCGGCACCCCAGCAGCTCACAACCATCCGGAACTCCAGTCCAGAGAGATCCAGCACTTTTTCTGGCCTCCACGGGCACCTGGACTCACGTGGTTCACAAGCACACATGCAGACCCACATAGGTCTTTAAAAACAGCTTAAAATACATGAAAGCTAACTGAAGTGACGGATTCCGCCCATCTCCTCCTTAGTCTCACAGCAAAGCTCGTCCTGGTCTGCGAAATGCTCAGGGTCCAGGGGCGCAGGCCTCGGAGCCAACACTAAAGGTGTTGTTTGGCGTTCCCGCCTCACCTAGCGCCTCCCAGCTGCCGGGACCCAGAAAAAGCCCCGGGAGCCGCAGGAAAGACAAAAGGCCCGCCCACAGCCGGAAGTGGGCGCATTCCCGAGGACGCGCCGGCGTACGGCCCTGAAGCCACGCCCAACTCCGGGCTACGTTCCCATAGCAACCGCTGCTGAGCAAGGAAGTCCTGGGTGGTGGAGTGGATGCGTGCAGTGGCCCCGCCCCCGTTGCGGCGCGACGACTTTATGCGTCATCGAGGAGCACCGGAAGTGTCTACGATTTCGGCAGAGACCCCGGAAGCGGCCGTCTCTGGTTTTGGTTTTTGCCGAGGCTCTGACTCCGGCCTTAGGATGGGTTGCGACGGAGGAACAATCCCCAAGAGGCACGAGCTGGTGAAGGGGCCGAAGAAGGTCGAGAAGGTAAGCGGGGACCGCGGGCGGCGGGGCTCGGGATAAAGTATCCACCGGCGCCTAAGGAGGGTTTGCTGTTTTCAGTCACTGGACAGCACGATTAGACGGAGGAATCCTCCCAACAGACTCGGTATTGATGATAAGTAAACATTAACGCTCAAAAGGACAGAGGCTGGAGGGCTAGTGAGTGGCCCAGCCGGTTAGCGGCGATCGCATTGACAGTTGCTCGTGTGTTTTTGCTTTGTTTTCTAGTGAGGTTCTCACTAGGTGGCCCTGGCTGTCTGGAACTCCTGCCTCTGTCAGTTGAGTGCTGGAATTAAAGGTGTGGGCCACCATGCCTGGCACTTTGTGTATTTTAAAACATACCTTTATTTTTAGTTATGTTTGTGTGTGGACACGTGAGTGCGGTACCCAAGGAGGCCAGAAGAAGGAATCAGACCTCTTAGGGCTGGAGTTACAAGTTTTTGTGAGCCATCAGACTGGGCTGTTAGCAACCAAACTCGGGTCCTTTGGAGGAACAGTACAAAGGCTTAACCACTGAGCTTGTCTCTCCAGCCAGAGCATCGTGTCTATTAAAGAAGTCTTCCCGGGCCGGGTGGTAGTGGCTCACGCCTTTAATCCCAGCACTTGGGAGACAGAGGCAGGCGGATATATGTGAGTTCGAGGCCAGACTGGTCTACAGAGTGAGTTCCAGGACAGGCACCAAAGCTACATAGAGAAACTCTGTCTTGAAAAACAAAAGAAAAAAAAAGTCTTCCCGGACCATTCCCTTATTTTGTAAGGTCAAACCCTGTATTAAACTGGTTCAGCACTGAGCTCATCGAATTGGTGATTGACCCCAGTTGATCCCCACCCAAACTCGCATCCGGCACAATGAATATTTTTGAATAAATGAGTGAACAGTCTTTAAACCTTACAAGACATTGAACAAACTGTATAGTTCTACATTAATGGCAAGGAAACTGAGTCCAGAAACGTGAATTAATGCTACCAAAGTCATACAGCCTGTAGTTGTGAACCGTTATTCTCATCCAGTTAGGTGCGCTTCAGAGCTGGGGCTGGTGGTGACTGTGTAATATAAGGCATGGAAGGCCCTTGATAACAATTTCCAGCACAGGGAGAGTCATGTTTTCTAATCCAGCATTCAAAGAACTTTGGATTGGAGGTGAATCCCATCCACTATTGTATTTGAGACACTGTATTTGTGGGTATTGACTATATAGATATATATGTATGTATATAATGTATATATGTATATGTATATATCTCCTATGTGAACTGGGGGCCCTGCATGTCTTAGCTCTGTAGCCTCTATAATGTTTCCTTACATAATAGACATTCACGAGTGTGTTAAAAGTGAGGCTGGAGTGCCCTCGGACCATGCCACCAGGTCACATTCAAGTGTGCATTAGGTGTTCATCCTCTTTTGTTGTCTTGTGCCCAAGACTGATAAGTAGTGTGATGAAAGTTGGCCAAAATAATAATAATAATCTCAGATGGTAAAGAAAGGAAAGAATGATCAGGAAGGGTGGTTTTTATTAACCCCATTCATACAAGTACTTACTAAATGCTTGTTGTGTATGCTGCTGGTCCTGAGGGCAAAGCTTAGAATAGAGTGATCTGTCCCTTCTAGAACTTCTATTTCAAATGCCGATTATGAAGTAATAATATAGGTGGGGGGATCTGCCCCTGCCTTGACACACAGCTTCTTTGTCCTATGGAAATATCACTTGTTCTAAGTGAGATGTGTGGTGACTTTTTTTTTTTAAATTTGAAATAAGATCTCGCTATGTAGTCCTGGCTGGTCTGGAACTCTCTATGTAGATCAGACTGGCCTCACTAATAGAAATCCACCTGCCTCTGCCACAAATGCTAGGGTTAAAGGTGTGTATCATAACACCCAGTCCTGATGACTTGAACTCCTAGCTGGGAACTAGTCACCAGAATGACAAAATCATGCTTAGAAGCTTTACGCTTATTTTTCTCTTTTGATATTTGTTTATTATTTTACCTGTATACACATGAGTTTACATGCACCACGTATGTGCAGAGACCCAAGGAGGCCAGAAGAGGGAATTAGAGTCCCCAGAAACTAGAACTATTAGCTGCCTAACATGGTTATTGGGAACCAAAACTGGGTCTTCTGCAAGAGCAGTAATGCTCTTAAACATTGAGTCATCTCTGCAGCCCTGCAACTTGGCGCTTTTATACCCTCCGTATTCCAGGAGGAACTGTTGTGTGCTAACTTACTGTAAGATACATTAGCTGGAGCTAGGTCAGAGGGAGAGCCCCTCTGGGTATGTGCACAGTGGTTCTGCTTTTTATAATGCCTGCGCACACTGTTTAATGATATGTTATAAACCTGCTTTGTGTGTGTCAGGTGTTGGATCTTTATTAACTGAACATTAATTTAAAACCTTTTTAAAATTTGTGTTACATGCCGCATATGTGGAGGTCAGAGAGCAACTTTTGGAAGCTGGTTCTCTTGTTCCACTGTGGGTTCAGGGATCACATTGAACTTGGGTTTTTGTCATTATTGTTGTTGTTTGTTTGTTTTTGGGTTTTTTTTTTACCTCTGAGACATCTTACCTGCCCTAATTTTTAAAAAATTTTCAAAGTCCAAACTTCATATATCACTTTTTATTTATTATTTTTATTATTAACTTATGTATGTTAGGCAAATGTCTTGCCACCATCTGCATTCTCTACATGACGTCCATATGCATGTTTTCTTTTTGTAATTTTGCAGGGGTTTGGTTCAGAGGTTTTGTTGTGTTTTTATTTTCTTGAGACAGGGTCTCTCTGTCTAGACTTGGATGTTCTGGAACTTGCTCTGTAGACCAGGCCAGCCTTTAACTTAGAGATCTGCCTGCCTCTGCCTTCCCAGTGCTAGGATTAAAGGTGTACACCACCACTGCCCAGCTCTCTTTTTATGATTTTTAAAAATACATTTACTTGTTTGGTTGGGGCCTATGGGACATGAATGTCACATGTGGAGGGCAGAGGACAAGTTCTCTCCTTTACCATATGGGTCCCAGGGACAAAATCAATCTCTCTCTCTCTCTCTCTCTCTCTCTCCTCCCTCCCTCCCTCCCTCCCTCTCTCTCTCTCTCTCTCTCTCTCTCTCTCTCTCTGTGTGTGTGTGTGTCGCTCTGCTGTTTTCTTTTAGGAGCAGCATCTTGTTGGGTTATCCAGGCTGGCCTCACACTTTATCCTTTTGCCTCAGTCTCTCAAGTACTAGGATTATAGTCTCTACTGCTCCTGGGTGTGTGTCATTGTTCTTGATTTAAAGATTAGAACCATCACAGCGTATGTCTTAGTCACTTTCCTTTGCTGTGATAAACACCACAACCAAGGCAGCTTATAAAGTTTATTTTGACTTACACTTCCTGAGGGAGGGTCCATGGCAACCAGTGGCAGAGCAGGAACATGGTCACATTTTCATCCACACACAGGAAGCAGAAAGAGTGAACGAGAAGGGGGGCAAGGTTATAAACCCTGCAAGCCCACCTTCAGGACTGTACTTCCTCCAGCAAGGGTACACCTCCAAGGTTTCCTAACTCCTCAAATAGCACCACCCAGTGGGGACCAAGTGTTCATGTATATGAGCCCATGTGATATGGGATTCCCTTCTGTATACTGTGCATATGTTTTATTGCATTGGTTAATAAAGACGTTGCTTTGTACTATGGCAGGGCAGAGTAGAGCTAGGCAGGAAAACTAAAGTGAATGCAGGGAGAAAAGGTGGAATCAGGAAGTCACCACATAGCTGCCCAAGGAGAAAGACACTGGAACCTTACTGGTAAGCCACAGCCTGGTGATACATAGATTAATAGAAATGGGTTAATTTAAGATATAAGAGTTAGTTAATAAGAAACCTGAGCTAACAGGTCAAACAGTGTTGTAATTAATATAGTTTCTGTGTGATTATTCAGGTCTAGGTGACCGGGAAACCCAACGTGCAGTCTCCGGTTACACCTGTGAGGGACATTTCTCATTCAAACCACCACCGTGTGTCATTAGATACATTTTACATGTGAAAGGACCGGAAAGACTGTGTGCTTTCTTTCCTAGGTTGACAAAGATGCTGAGCTGGTGGCCCAGTGGAACTATTGTACTCTAAGTCAGGAAATCCTGAGGCGTCCAATTGTTGCCTGTGAACTTGGCAGGTATGGATCCTTTACTTAGTCAAGATGAATTGACTCTGTTGATTTTGATGAGAAGTTGAGGCACTTGATTGATGGGCTAGGAACTCTCCTAAGCAGATATGTGGGGAAGATGGCTTGCATCTGGACATGGCTCTGCACCTTCCTCCTCAACTTGGTTTACACTCAGGAGCCATAGTAACTGCTTAGATATAAACCTGAAGCAGCCATGACAGCCATAGAGAGCAGCAGGGAGTCGGAGAACTGGAGAGGGCATGACCTGCCTAAAGGGGGTGGGGATGGGGCTGCTACTCACTCTAGCCAGTTCTTATAATCGTAAATCCTCTGATATTTATTTTTGAAGAACAGGGAAAGTAAGGACTTTCACACTGATTCTTCCAAGTCTTGAAGTCCTTGTTTAGGTGTAGTTGAGCCTGGCAGTTTGCCTCCTTAACTTAAAGTTGCTGCTCCGTGTTGTCTGCTCTGCGGCAGTTGAAGCGGGTCACACCTGCTCAGTGTGCTCTGCAGCAGTTGAAGTGGGTTACACCTGCTCGGTGTGCTCTGCAGCAGTTGAAGTGGGTTACACCTGCTCGGTGTGCTCTGCGGCAGTTGAAGCGGGGTTACACCTGCTCGGTGTGCTCTGCAGCAGTTGAAGTGGGTTACACCTGCTCAGTGTGTTCTGCAGCAGTTGAAGTGGGTTACACCTGCTCGGTGTGCTCTGCAGCAGTTGAAGCGGGTCACACCTGCTCGGTGTGCTCTGCAGCAGTTGAAGTGGGGTTACACCTGCCGTTAGCAGCACAGGATGTTGTTAGCAATGTGGGTGGCTTTAGTCATGTTGATTTCTTCTCCGTTTGGTTATCTGAAATCGCTGCTGTTGTCTAAACTGATCCTTACTCTTGTAGACTGTATAACAAAGATGCTGTCATCGAGTTCCTGTTGGACAAATCTGCTGGAAAGGCTCTGGGGAAGGCAGCATCACACATTCGAAGCATCAAGGTAGGACAAGGAACATGGGTGAGCTCCAAGGGCCTCGGTGAGTGAGGTCACTATTATAGGATTTGTGTATGATAGAGATGGCTCAGTGCGGGGAAGCACTTGCCACCTGCCTGACGGTGCAAACCTAGAACCCGAGTTCCGTCCCTGGGACCCACATGGTGGAAAGAGAGAAACAACCCCATAGGTTGGTCTCTGACCTCTCCAGGTGTGCTGTAATGGGTGTGTGTAAGCACCTGTATACACACACACACTAAAGTAAAGACATGAATAAGCACGTAAAATTCTTTTTTAAAAACTGGATTTGGAACCTGGGAAGATTGACTAATTGGTAAAAAGCTTGACAGGCAAGCATGAGGACTTGAGTTCAAATCTCCAGTGCTCAGATAAAAAGCGAGATTTGGTGAGTGTGTCTGTGATCTTGACGCTGGGAGGCTCTCAGGCTCACTGGACAGTTGGTCTGGCTGTGTTGTTGAGCTCCAGGCTCACTTAGACTTTCTGAGAAAATGAGCTGGAGAGATAGAGGTAGACGCCTGAGCCGAGTGCAGTGACTCATGCCAATAGGATATGCTGAAGAGGTGGAGGCAGGAGGATCACCAGGAAGACAGCTGACAGTGACCAGGCCAGAGCCTCACACACACATGCACATGAGCACATGCATGTGTATACACCACACATAACAAATAAGCATGGAAAGATTACATACCTAATGATGAAATAGTCTCTGTCTTAGACTCCTGCAGCTTACAATTCTTTTCTTTCTGGTGCTGCCAAAATGATGGGCATGCCTTAGAAGTCACTTCCCCCGGGCCAGGGCGGCCATGTTGCTGACCCGCAGAGCCCTGTGGGTTGGGTGCACACTCCTCCTCCCGGGCCAGGGCAGCCGTACAGCTGACCCGCAGAGCCCTGTGGGTCGGGTGCACTGACTGAGTTCATCTCATCAGCATTATTCATGGTTCTCTACAGAATGTGACAGAACTCAGGCTTTCTGACAACCCTGCCTGGGAAGGGGATAAAGGAAACACCAAGGGTGACAAACATGATGACCTCCAGCGAGCACGGTTCATCTGCCCTGTGGTGGGCTTGGAGATGAATGGCCGGCACAGGTGAGTAGTGACGGGATGGGTGAAATGATTCTAGTCTCGTTGGGATTTCTCTGTGCTCTCCTAGGGCTGGAGTAGGGCCTTGTGAGAAATAGTGCCCAGTCACGGCGGGCTCCTTCCCCAGCGGCCATCTGTGCACGCTACCCACCCTGCTCAGTTCATTCAGAACTATGGCTCTGCTCAGCTCCGTGGCCCTGTTCTATGCTGTGGCCTTGCTCAGCTCCGTGGCCCTGCTCTGTGCTGTGGCCTTGCTCAACTCCGTGGCCCTGCTCTGTGCTGTGGCCTTGCTCAACTCCGTGTCCCTGCTCTGTGCTGTGGCCTTGCTCAGCTCCATGGTCCTGTTCTGTGCTGTGGCTCAGCTCCATGGCTCTGCTCAGCTCCGCGACCCTGCTCTCTGCTGTGGCCCTGTTCAGCTCCCTGGCCCTGCTCTGTGCTGTGGCCTTGCTCAGCTCCATGGTCCTGTTCTGTGCTGTGGCTCAGCTCCATGGCCCTGCTCTGTGCTGTGGCATGTTCTGTGTTGTGGCCCTACTCTGTGCCCTGGTCGGGTGCTGCATGTCCACTGGTCTTAGTGCTGGCTCAAGCTGCTCTTCCTTGGTCTCTTTCCAGGTTTTGCTTCCTTCGATGCTGCGGCTGTGTGTTTTCTGAACGCGCATTGAAAGAGATAAAAGCTGAAGTTTGCCACACGGTGAGTTCCCACCATACTTCATTTGTTCCTTCTCAGCGGCTGAGGGAGTGGCTTCAGCGTGTCTCCCGCTGTCATTTCAGTCCTGAGATCTTTGTCAAAGCATCTAATGCGTCTGAGTCTCCTCATCTTCCACGGCTCTTCACTGTTGCAGGTCCAGGCTCGCACACACTTCACACCCTGGCCACTCTTCCAAGCCCAGTTCTTCTCCAGACTGCCCCCTGGAGGGCCATGTTCTGTCTCCGCCCCATGTGCTCTGCAGATCCTTCTTGCTGGGTCCTCATCACTGAGTACCGTGTTACCCCTTGGTCTCATCATCACCGAATTGTGCATGTGTGTGTCAGACTCCCAGCTGGACCGTGTGCTTTTGAGGGCAGGAGACAAGGTGTGCTGTCCCTTGATCTCCAGGCCATGTCACCAGTACGTGAGCACATAAGGAGTGTTCCTCCAGATAGTCCTTGCCCATCCAAAGGAAAGTGTGATGACGTGGCCCTTGCAGGTGGTACTGCCCCGAGCCTTGCCTTCTTTGGGTTCCTCTGGTGTTTATCTGCGTGACATTTAGTGTAATGTAGATAGAAGCCACGCATGACTCTGTTCAGTGAGTGTAGTGTGCTTAGGCCTGTCATGGATTGCACCCTCTGTTGGTGGCTTTTTGTGAGCAATTGTCATGGCAGTTCCTGTCCTAGCCCTTTACTCGTGGGGTGTCCTGAGGAAAAGACCCACCAAAGTCCTGCTCCCAGGGAGCCCTCTCCTGCCGGGAGACCCTCACGGAAGGCTCCATAGTCAGGGGAGAGTGTTGACCTTAGCAGTGGGCAGTGGAGATGTCCTGAAGCTTTGAATTCAGCTAAAGGGCACAACGGCACTAGCAAAGCTTGGGCAGGGCACGCTCCACGAAAGAGCCCAAGTGGTTCCTCTTCTGCAGCGTTCCTGAAGCTGATGGATGACCAAGTTGGGGGTGCTGGACTGTGGCTGACTTGTCCATATCGTGTGCAAATGTCACATAGGGCTTCCCTTTTTAAAAGTTAACTGCCTAATGTAGCTGATGGCATGTATGAGTCTCCTGTTGAGGGCAATGACACAGGTGCTGCCTGGGAAGTAAGATCTGAATGACCGTGACTGGAGACGGTGCATCATGTGCTTCCGGCTGGGACTTCAGCAGAGGGGCAGGGCACAGTTTAATCTGCAAGACTGTAGAAGTTAGAGCATCCAGGGCACTGGACAGGCCATGGCACGCGAGGCAGGTATCTCGTTTACCCCCTCCCATCTTTGTCTGCCTCTCGCTGTTAGAAACTGACTGCTGAGACCTGACTCTTCAGAAAGAATAGAAATTTACTGACATTCTGGAGGCTGGGAAGTCCAAGCAAGGTGGTGCCAGTGTCCGGCAAGGGCACCATATTCCATGGTTTAAACTGGAGGCTGGTGACCTGGATCTGTGCGTGACAGTGAGGGTCAGGCAGTGGACCATCATCAGCAAGCTTGGACTCAAATGTTGGTGAGCATCAGGTGTAAACAAAGCTCCCTTCCTGCTGACAGGAGTCGCCTGTCTGTGGAGCGCCCTCCCCCTCAGTGCTTCTCAACACGGTCCCCTCGCTGCTACCCTCTGCCAGATCCACTGTCTGAATTAAGTGTAGTTATATTCCAGTGTGGTTATGCTCCAGTGTGGTTATGCTCCAGTGTGGTTATATTCCAGTGTGGTTATGCCCCAGTGTGGTTATGCCCCAGTGTGGTTATATTCCAGTGTGGTTATGCTCCAGTGTGGTTATAGTCCAGTGTGGTTATGCCCCAGTGTGATTATGCCCCAGTGTGGTTATATTTCAGTGTGGTTATATTCCAGTGTGGTTATATTCCAGTGTGGTTATGCCCCAGTGTGGTTATGCTCCAGTGTGATTATGCCCCAGTGTGGTTATGCCCCAGTGTGGTTATATTCCAGTGTGGTTACATTCCAGTGTGGTTATGCTCCAGTGTGGTTATATTCCAGTGTGGTTATATTCCAGTGTGGTTATGCTCCAGTGTGGTTATATTCCAGTGTGGTTATATTCCAGTGTGGTTATATTCCAGTGTGGTTATGCTCCAGTGTGGTTATGCTCCAGTGTGGTAAGAAAACTTGTCCTGTATAAGGACATCCTTGTGACATCAGCATTGATTACTTCATGGGGCTGTGTGATCCAGGCACCCACATCCCAGCACTGCCACCCAGGAACTTTGAGGACACATCCCTGTGGTGTTTCAGTGTTGAGAGCCCGGCATGGAGCAGTTTGGCCTGGGAGAACAGCATCTGTTTGGGCCCCAGACTTCAGTATTTAAAGTGAAGGGATCATAAGGACTTAGAGTCTTTCCTTTTAGATCCAAACATTCTAAATAAGAACATTTTAAGTAAGGCAATAAATAGAGTCAGGTGTTATCAGGGATCGAACTCCAACTCCAAGTGTGAAGTTTCTCAAGTTTGGTAAAGAGGACATTGGTAGAAGGTTTGGCTCACTGTGGAAACCATCCTTGGGTGCCTGGTGCCCAGCAGAGAATCCTGGCTAGACAGTTTCTTCCTTCCCATTCCATGACTTGATGGGAAGGAGAGAGAGCCTCTCTTGGGAAGTTTTGTTTTTTGTTCTTGTTGTTTTTATTTTGGTGTTTTGAGATGGGATTTCTCTGTGTAACTTTGGAACCTGTCCTGGAACTTGCTCTGTAGACCAGGCTGGCCTCAAACTTGCATAGATCCTCTGGCCGTGTGCTGAGATTAAAGGCGCCACCACCACTGCCCTGGTCTCAGGAAGTTTACAGGTCAGACCTGCAGATTGTACCTGGAGCCGCTCATATTCCACTGGCTAGGACCCAGTCACGTGACCACCCCTCAAGGAGCCTGGGAAAAGGAGTCTGGCTGGGTGTGTAGGATGACTGGCCAGTGCTGGCCCTTTCTGCAGAAATCTGCCCTGTGCAGAGATGACACAGCATCTGCAGTGACAGGTGTCGTGATGAGGGAGGGGAGATGAAGCCACGGGGTCAAGACCAAAAGATTGTCAGGTTTTAGGCGCTGTCTGAACTCTCTAAGTCACTAAACTAAGAGCAAGGATAAAGGCCTCTGTGGCAGGAGGGCAGCTTGATCCTGCTTGTTGGCCTGGGGCTGCCCTGAGATTTGTCCTTTTGTCTCCACAACTGGCTGTGACTCACATATACACACACATACACACACAATACACACACGGTACACACAGTAATAGTAAAACAATTCAAACAGCCAGAGGCTCCAACTCACTTGGGTCACTCTGTGTACCATGGTGTGCACTTTGCTGTCAGAGAGGTGAAGGTGCTGTGGTTTAGTTTCTCCAATAATCAGGTGACTGGCCAAAATACCAGGTGAGTTCCTCTGTGTCTTGTAATAAGAAACATTTTCAAGAGGTCAAGGGTATCTTAACATTTTCAGTGCACAGTAGGGAAAAATGTTCGCTGTAACACACTGCTTCAGTCTTATTTTGCTTAAGTTGACCTAGGGTCTGCATTAAGATCTCTTCACTCTGCTCGGCTTTCCAGGCCGCATGACTGGATGTGACTTCATCTCTGTGTGGGAGAGCCTCAGGTGACAGAGGTCTTTATAGTGTGTGGTAGTTTCCTTTCTAGGGCTCCTACTTTAATTTTTTTTTCTTTCTTTTTTTTCGTGGTAATGAATTATTTATTTATTTATTTATTTATTAAAGATTTCTGCCTCCTCCCCTCCACCGCCTCCCAACCGGACTCGCTGAACATAGCAGACAATGAGGACTGCTGAGAAGTCAAGATCAATGACACTGGGTTTTGATCCTACTGCACGTACTGGCTTTGTAGGAGCCTAGGCAGTTTGGATGCTCACCTTACTACTTTAATTTTTTAAAAAAAAGAAAAGAAAGTATTTCCAGGCTGGAGAGAAGGCTCTGGTTGTTCTTGTAGAGGTCCTGAGTTCAATTCCCTGCACCGCATGGTGTAACTCCCGTTCCAGGGGAGCCATCATGGACTGCTGACTGCCATGGGCATGTGGTACACACACATACCTGCAGGCAGCACATCCATACACGGACAGTAGTTGAGTGTTGTTGGAATTCGGTCCCAGGGGCAATTGTATGGGACTGGGTAATGAGGGAGGGAGCTCTGCGATTAAGTCAGTTTTATTAAACAGGTACAAAATACAGAGTACACTCACAATACAGAAGGAGGCTGCAACCTGCTGCTGCTGCAGCTGCTAATCCTCCCATTCCCAAGGACAACTAGGGAGGTCTGGGGAAGGCTACCAAGCTGCAGCTGCCTGCACCAGCAAGCCCTCCACAGTCTTAAGAGCCTCTGTGACTCTTCCCCCTGGGGTTTTAACAGATCACTATCTCCAGAGAAGACCACGCCCATTGGGCCAAGCCTCTCTGTTCAATTGGCTGTCAGACCAAATTCCCACAACAGTTGAACATGTCAGTTTTTATGTCACGGAGGACATTGTTAGGGAAAGAGTGCATATAAAAGTGTCCTGTAACAGTGGTAACAGTGGCAGTAGAAGAGCCGGGGACTTAGGAAGGAAGGACCTGCATCTGTGACTCGGGATGGCTAAGGCCATTCATGCCTTCAGCTGGTACGCCCAGGGTGTTGACTGTTTGCCACATGAATTAACTGACTTGAAAAACTAATTAAAAGTCAAGAGTGGCTCCTCCGTCTCCTTCCACACTTCTCTGCGGCAGCCCCTGTGGTGGTGGCATTGGCCAGTGCCATCGTGGGCATCCATCATGGCAGGAAGAATGAGTAGATGGCCGGCCAAGACTACACAGACTTCAGGCAGCGCTCTTAAGGTGTGTTTCCCTCTGTAGGATAATTCATTTTACCCAGAGAAGGAGTCCCCTAGATGGTTTTCTGGAATTTTCTAGAACTAGAACAAAGGTGTACTATTCTTAGCGAACAGGGATAGCTCCAGAGAAGCATGGTTTTCTTCTGGGCGGGGCATTGTTCTGTATTTGTGCCTCTTACACAGCATCTCCAGGCCCTCAGAACAAGACCTGAAC